CTCATCGATCATCGTCTGTCTGTCCCTCTCCCGACGAACGGACGCATTGACACCCCGACTTCTAGTGTGTCGGGTGCCAGAACCATCAAAATAGTCATTGAACGTCTCGTCGTCATCCCTGGCATTAGATTATCCAGCTCTGCTAACACCCTGAATCAGAAATATAATTATTAAATTTTTCCATATGTAATAACTATTGTAATAACTATTAAAATAGATTATAATTCATTTTTATTTTAATTTATAAATTTTATTATTATAATTTTTAATTATTATTATAATTATTATTGTTGAGATTTATAATAATTATTATAATTAATTATAATTATTATTACAAATTATTACTATTAATTATAATTAATTCTAATTTATAATTACTATTATAATTAATTTTATTATAATTATTATTATTTCATATAATTATTATTATTTCTTATACGCCCTTTTCGCCGTCCGGAACCGACGACCGGACGGCGCTGCCGCGTCCGGACGCGGCCGCAGAGTTAAAAAAAAAATTAAAAATTTATTCGCATGTAAGAAAAAAAGAAAAATTACCTTGCTGGAGAAGAATGCTTTGCCGAGGCTGTAGGATTTTTTCGACATTTTTTCGGATTTTTTTCGGTGCTCGAATCGCTCGATGAAAGTTCGGGAATTTAGAGAGAGAGAAAGTTTAGAGAGATAGAGTCTGAAAAAGGATTAAGGGGAAAAGAGTAAAAGAGGGGGCGGTGACTAGTAAAGGGGACAGTGAACAGTAAATCAGAAATCAGATTCAATAAAATCTTCAATTTTCAGAGAAAAGAGATCTTCAATTTGCTTTAATTTAAATTGGTTTCCAATTAAGGCTATTACTTCCAATCGGGTATCTCTCGACACAGGCTTTGCAGGCGAGCAAAAATGGGAATAGTTGTTGGCATTTGGTACCAACATGTGTATGTATATACATACTAACATTTTTATGATCTTAATTTCCCATTCCCAGTGCCTCTTTTTTTTTCTGTTATTTTTTATCTACCATTCAAAATTTTGATGGCTGATTTTCATCTTCCCTCTGTGGGTTTTGATACTAGCTCGGCTAGTACCGAAACTTGCCAATTTTTTTAACAGTGTTGGGATATCGTCACTGGCTCGGAGCACTTGGGGATGTGTGTCCTCAAGTGCCGAAATGTTGAGAAATAGAAGAATGCATCTTACCCATTCCTAGCCGAATGTTGTTCTACCCATTGTCATTTTCCCTCTGCCAGATGGACATATGAGGCAGTGAAGGGAAAACATTGGTACATAATACGAGCCCCTCGATACTTGAGGAAAGATAAAAGAGAAAGAGTTTAAAACAAGTTGATTGAATTGATAGCAAAAAAGCCACTTTCCATGTTAGCTCGAGAGACCGACGTTAAAAAACCACAGAGTTATTTCTTCAAGCTTGCAGAGGGCGGCAAATATATCAGAACATGTAACTTGCAGTCGAGGCTATCTTAACATTTTCTTACGCCTAACGAACAACAATTAAATCTGTTAACGGGGTCTGTGAATCGAATCATAAACAGGCAACAGGGGCCAAAGCACACACAACATAGGACTAACACCGCAACATGATAAACGCAATAACAGTGGGAAAAAATATACAGGAAATGTAAGAAATGCAAACCCACAACCACAATAAGTGTACAGAGAGTAACAACTACAAAGCCAACAATGGCAATGTAACAAGCACGAGCTAACGCGCCACAATTGCAACAGTCTGCAATAAAAAACATAAGCACAAAGGACAACAAACATCAAACACAATTAATAATAGAAAAATAAATGAAACACCAAAAATTCAAATCGATCGTGCTTTTCCTTACAAAATCATGCTAGAGCTTATGCTCTCATCCTCCCAGTCTCGGCACTACTCACGTTGAGGTTCTCAACCGATGATCAAACTTGAGTCGGTCTCAACACATCCATAATGTGACAATAGGAAACTCCTAGAGTTTTTGTCTCTACTTGATCTTAGAGTAAAAATGGGACATTTAAAATCAGAGGCATGCGATAATAACTTATATCAGAATCCCTGTCATTACCCTAAGCATAGTAAAACTTCATTCATTCACTCAATTATAATTATCATATTGGATAAATAAATATGAAACACCAATCACAAAGCACTGTGGAAATCAACTAACAAACCATGTGAAATATATGAAGGCAAATGGAAAAAGACAAAAGAGGTTAGGTAATTTTTTACGTTCTAGCACAATTCATATATCTAATATCATTACACACTACACGCTTGTCAAAGTTTTCAAGTTCATCTTCACCCAATCAGCAGACGGTATCTAGATTGTTAATACAAGACATGCAATGCCCAATTCACCAAAACAACTAGTCAACTCCACATAAGTACATAATATCACAACTTCAACCATACGGCAACGAAATAGCTGGCTGCTAATAAATACATGCAAAAACCAAATAATCGTATCTTTTTTTTGCCCTAACAGCTAGCTACCAACAGTTCGTTGCCTTTTACGGTCTGATTGACCAAACCGAGTAAACAATGGGCCATATTCTCCATCCCAATGACTTTTGAACCCATCGACCTGATCATTAAGGCCAATTAATAAAAAAAGATTGAAAAAGATGAAAAACTAATTTAAAAGCTTAAAACATCATAATTCAACCTACCATGGTGAGCAATAAGTTGAGTGTCTTATCCAATCCATTGTGTTTATTACCCGTGCCCTTGCTGGCCATGTCCTCCGAGGGAGGATGCTGATAAAAATTGAAGAAGGGGTTTTAAGCTCAACAAAAAGCCAACTAACAATACTTAATTAAGCATCAACACAACAAAGTATACCGCTTGAAATTGGCGCCAGAAACTCTTTCTTTTTCTAATGATAGCATGATTAGTCTTGGCCATATACACCGTTGCATCTCTCACCATTCTTCTATTCTCGTCAACCGGGCATACTTTAGGAATGAGCTCTTCTGCTTCAAAGTACAGGTCCTCCATTGGAAGTTGTTTTATCAACTATGATAATTTATATACATAAAAACAGGCGCAATTAGAGATGCATAAGAAAAGGAAGAAGAAACATTTATAAGGCTCAGACTATGGTACATATCTTTAGTAGAGTTATAGATACGGTTACCTCAATCTGGCGTTCGATGAAACCTTTAAAAATTGCGGGGTCGAGCATTTTTCCCTCAGCTTCTTTTTTCTGCTCGATCTCAGCAAAATTTTGGAGGAGATATAAAGCCTTAATGCTGGCTTTGGTTTGCTTATAATTATAAATCTGTCAAGAGGATGAACAGCCGTTAACAAGTCCCTAACAAATTAACGAATAAAATCAAATTACTGAGTAGAATTGTTTTTTCCATTCTGTGTGGTGAAATAAAAAATGACTTCCTAACCAATTATCTTACCCCAGCATCGATTTTATAAGCAATAGGGACAGCATAAGCTTCTGGATCACATTCAGGAGGCTCTGTACTATCGAGCAACCCATTGTCTTTTAGCATCTGAGCCAATTCTAAATAGATAAAACGCATTTTGGCATATGCGAGGTCTTCTATCTTAAGTGGAAATTGAACTGTCTTCTGAAATTCAGTATAATTAAAAATGTTATCTTTACACGAAAAAGACAATGAATAAGGAGAAAGACACAAATTACTACCTCAAATAATGCTTCGAGTTGTTGGAAAAGCAAATCGAAGATATCTATTGTCCACTTTGCGGTGTTCACAAGGATCAGACAGAGTGATTCATCCCTTCCCAGTTGGCCAAGGTAATTCTACTCACAAATTCAATGAAGAAAACATAACAAATAGATAAGTAATTGAAGAACCTAGGACGTTTACCATTGATTGATTGATTGTGTACTACCCACCAAGACAAGTTCTTTTTTAGACTTGATCTCTTCCTCAAACTCCTCGAGCTTTGTGATTTTGAAATCGCACTCGTCGCAGGAGCAAGCTAAGGCGAAGTCAGGGCCTGGTGAAAACAAAAGACAGTCTTCTGCTTGTTCCACTTCCTCTAGTGCATCCAGAAAGGGTTGCCGGCCCTCGCCTCGCTCCTCGGCTGTTTCTAAATTTTTCTCTGGGAGTGCTACGTCTACAGGCATTCTTGAAGATTTCTCTT